TCACATGTTATGTGATCTCATCCCTACTGTTTATATGTTAAACACACATACTTCTGATGTGTGCTGCCTTTCTCTATATTGCCTGGATCCTGTTCTTGGCTCTGGCCTTTCCCACTTGTCTTTAACATGGACACTCATGAGATCCTCCAGGAGGACCAGTGCATCCTCAAGCTCTGCTACATCAGGGCCAGAGACTTGTTGGGCTTCGTGTTCATGCTGGCCATGCCTGCCATCTATGGCAAGCTTTTCCATTGCCACTGCAAAATGAAGCCAATGCACATGGTATTGGCCATCAGCCAGAAGTTATTGTTCCTCTGGGTCTGGGGTCACCAGCCAAGGTGCCACCTGCTTTATCTCTGGTGATGACCTGGAGTCCATGTGACCCACCCTGGTGGACATCCAGCAGAATGGCCCTTGACTGCTAGGCATGGATAAGGTTAAGGGCAGGAAGCAGAATGCTATGTGTTCTATTCCATCATGCTTCTCTTCTTGCCCCTGGGCCCTTGTACTGGTGAACCTTCATCAAGGTCTGTGCCATGTCCCATTACTGTTAACACTGTTGAGTTTTGTCTAGGTTGCTATCCACCCCAGTTGGTTTCCTGGTCAACAAGGACCTCAAGAACTGCCTGTGGACCAAGGCCCCCTGCCAATGCATGAGACACACACCTGCCCACCCCAGCCTTCCAGGAACCCTACTGGCTGCCAGACCGATGGGCAGGCTGGTATGTGTTCACTGTCATTATTCTGTGGTTCCAGGTGAGGGTGGAGACTGGGCCCTTGTAGAGTCCAGGTACCTTTGTCAACTTCCCTTATCCCCTCCTAAGACATGACCAGAGTGTCATAGTTGGGTACTGGGGAAGAGATATTTGTGGGCCTCTGTTTACTTGATTTCATGTCACACCTCCATACCTCCTTTATTTGACCTTCCTTACTCCCTCCATCTCTCCCTCCTGCCCCTTTCCTGCCACCCTACCTTCCTTTCCTGGCCTCTTCCTTCTTTTCTTTTGTTTAAAATAGGACCACAGCTCAGAGAAAACAAAACAACTGAAAACCATAGTTTTCTACATACAGCTAGGGAGACAGCTGAGGACTTGCTGTGCACACTCACATACTAGGCAGAAAGTGGATAGAGGAAACCAGAAGGCCAAGTGGGTCTGTGGTCAGACCCTGGTCCCATTTCCTGGGCTCACTCTGTAATTCTGAAGTTGAAAAGCCTTTTCATGCCTATGCATTTGCTAAAATTATAAACCTCAAAGCAGCAGTGTTGTGTACTAGTGTTTACTCTTGTTCTGACTTTTTTGTATGCCCCTTAAGACCCAGGTGCCTCCTGCTGTTTCTTCTGGCTATCTGGATCCTTAGCCCCAGCTTTCCCACTCTTAGCCGTCCTTTCTTTCTTCAACTTTCAAATACCCACAGGAGTAGGCTTTAGTTTCCAGTATGGGGGATCCTAAGGCTCTCCTGGGGTTTGGGGGTGGGGTGGTTAGAATCTGTTCAGGATCCAAGTTATTTCCAGTGGGTATAAAAGCTGAGCTGGGCCCTCTCATCCCTGAGGGTGGGGAAATAAGACTGTATCTACACCTGTCCTTCCTCTAACTTCCCTTTCCATATGGAAGACCTCATTGTAAGTTCCACAAAGGAGTCCTTGACTCAAAGTTGTAGCGTGGGTGTGCTAGGCAGCGGAAATGGAGCAAAAATATAGAGCAGACATGATCCTGATGTGGAGTGGGCCAGGGAGAACAGACAGAGATAGTTTGAGAAGCTGCTGGGAGAACAAGCCTGTCTCTTAGTGATGGAGGGGACAAGAGAGACCTTCCCTAGGGTTGGGAAGAGAGAATTAAAAGGGTTGTAGGCAAATAGGATGGCTAGGAGAGAGTGTGCCCAAACTAGACTCTATGTCATCATTAATGGATTTGATAATCACAGGAATGAACCAAAACCAGTAATGTTACTTCGGATGCTTTCTCTTTTGTTCTAGGTGTGGCCTTGTGTGTGGGGAAGATTAACGCTATATGCTGCTTATTTTGCCTCTGAGTAAAATCTTGCCACTTTCCCCATTTTCCCTAATGGGAAAATAGACCTGTAAAAGTGTGCTTTTTGTGTTTTGTTTTAACTTTTTTGCTCTTTATTATGGACATTTTCAGACATGCACAGAAGTGGAAAGGATGGTCCCTGGACCCTGTGTGCCCATCACTTAGTTACGTTAATTGTCAATTATGATAAACCTGGTTTCATTTGTGTCTCCCTCTTCCCACCTGTATTGTTTATTGGAAATCCAAGACACCATGCCAATGCAATCGTATGCCAATATACTTTGGGAGACTGATATTCTCTCTTGGTGATGGTAGTGGTGGGGTGCACTATCATTATCACATCAACTCTGCTTTTTGTTTTTAATGTTATCTAATGAAGTTCCAGAGATGGGCTTTAGAAATGCAAGTCTTCAGAATTAATGAGTCTCAAAAAGACATGAAGGGGATGCTCCCTTTCCACTGCATCTACAAAAGGAGAGGGAGATCATTCTGCTGTAATACTCAAAGACTGATATGATAAGGTACTTAAGTGAGACTCTCTACCAGAATATCAATCTTTTTTTTCTCATGTAACTTGGAGACTCGTGTGACTGTTAGGATTCTGATAACAGCTTGTCATGTTCTCATAACTCTAGTCTTGGAAATATATTTTGAAAAGTGTTATGTTCTGTGAAAATAACCTCCTCAGAGTAATCAGTAACTGGTTGTTGTACTTGATAATTTGACACCCTGGTAATAATGCAATTATTTCTCTGTTCCTAAACAGTACAAATAGTGTAAGCTTGCATGCATGATGGAAAAATAAAAACCTTTATCTCTGTTATATTTATTTTCAAAAAAGAATTGGGAGGTAGTTAGATTGGGCAGTTGAGGGGATATGTATATTGGCTAAGATAAGAGATTCCGAAGCCTCAGACCGTTGTATAACTGGCTACGCAAAAATACCTATCATTCTGATTCCCAGGCCTTTCCCAGAGTTTGAGATTCTGTGGTTCTGAGAGGAAGCCAGGTAGTAGTGTTTTTAACAACCTTTCCACATGATTCTAGTGGGAATTCAAATTCTCAAATTTTAGAGTGCAACGGAAGTATGGGGGGAATCCTGTTAAAATATGGATTCTGATTTAGTAGTCTGGTGTGGAACCTAAGATTTTGCATTTCTAACAAGCTTCTAGATGATGGAGGGCTGGTGATTTTTGAACTGCACTTTGGGTCACAAGGGAGGTGACCTTGAAGGCTCTTCCAAACTGGAGTAATGGTGCTCAACCTTGGTTGCACATTAGAATTGTCTGGGAAGCTTAAAGAAGTATGCTGCTGGAGTTCCACACAAAGACCAACTAAATCAGAATGGAGAAAGGGGTTGGTTCAGGCATAGATACTTTAAAAGCTTCCCAAGTGATTTGGATGTCTAGCCAGAATTGAGAACTAGGTTCTCTGATGCTGTTTATTTTAGATCCATAACAAGAATCATTTCCCATTAATTAGGAGAAGCAGTGGCAGACAACCAAATGCCACATAAAGCTGCCCAGCAGAAAAATGGTTAGAAAAAACTAGAGGTGGGTTGTTAATTGACAAGATAATAAAATTGGCTTATATAATGAAGGGCTTGAATAAATAAATGTGCAGTACTCAGGGCACAGTAGGTGCTCCAATGTTGAATGAATGAATTTAAAGTATGGTTTATATTTAGATGCCTTAGGGCTAGGTTGGTAATTAAATTTGTGAAGTGGGCCAAGATTGTTTCATAAGGACATCTGTATTAGTTTGCTGGAGCTGCCATAACAAAGTACCACAGACTGGGTGGCTTAAACAACAGAAATTTATTTCCTCAGTTCTGAGGCTAGAAATCCAAGATCAAAGTATCAGCAATGGTTGGATTCCTCTGAGAGCCTCTCTCCTTGGCTTGTAGATAGCTTTCTTCTCTGTGTCTTTAGTCTTTCCTCTGTGAGTGTGTCTGTGTCCTAATCTCTTCATAAAAGGACACCAATCGAATTGAAGCCCACCCCCAATGACTTCATTTAACTTTAATAATCTGTTAAGGGCCCTGCCTCCAAATACAGTCACATTCTGAGGTAATGGGGATTAGGACTTCAACATGTGGATTTTGGGGGGATGGGGCATAATTCAGCCCATAACAACATCTTAAATTGTATTTGTTTGATATATATGTACTCTGCATGTTACAGTAGTTAATTTTATTGAGGCTTATTTCGTGCCAGGCACTGTTGTAGGTCCTTCACAAGGATTAATTTATTGAATGCTTACTGCAGTCCTGTGAGGTAGTGATACTATCCCCAAATGAGGGGATAAGATGAGTAAATGGGATAAAAAGAGGTTAAGTATGTTCTTCAGGTTCCTGCTGGCAATGAAAGAGCCAGACTTTGAACTGAGGCATTCCGGTTCAAGGATGCACACACATACAAATAGCTCTTAACTAAAAACAGTAGTAGTCTTCAGTTATGAAGACAAATATGTTCTCACCCACTTTCCACTATTTATAGAGACTGACTTTGATACAAGAGGGAGTTACTACTGTAGGGATAACCACCCAAACCCAATGGTCAGAGGACCAATAAGATGGGGCCTCAGTTTCTGGGTGGAAAGTCGTGGGACTTGTGTGTAAATTAGGGGCAGCAGCTCTGCAGCTCCAGCAGGTTGTTCACCTGCAGCAGTGCAGGTGCAGTGCAGCTGCATCTTCAAAGAGAGGGGTAAGGAATCAGGATGTTTATGTAGAATCTCCTAATTGTGAATGTTTTCAACTAAAAAAATTTTAAACCGAGTTTTTCTATTAGCCGATATGTAGAGAGCCAAAGATGAAGAGCCTCTTCTTCAGGTCTGAGCCTCCTCTTGGGAGACATGCACAGTCCTTCTGGGTTACAAGTTGGGAGGGGCTCCACCCAACTCATCTTATGGGCTTGCTTCTCCACAGGTGCAGAGCCTACATTTTCCAGTCCCCTCCCCGCCCAACACCTCTCTTTAGTTCTTTGGGAACCCTTTGGATCTGGGATTCACCACCTCCCTACGGGCTCCTTACACTCATTGCCTCCTGTAGGTACTAGTCTCTCTTGTAGACATTGGAGCCATAGCTTTGAAGAAATACAACTGAATTCTTCTGTCCCCTTTCTAGGTTTTGATCTCTTTGCAGTTTTTTCCTGGGATTGTCAGGCAGTCTGTTTCTTTGTCCTCTTTGCGTGCACGGGGCTGGCAAGTGCTTTAGATCCATGTGGGTCAGACTTCACAAGGCACTCAGGCCTTTCATAACCTGGAAAGTGAGGGCCTCCTGAGGTCATTCTAGTTATGCTGAGAGTCTCTGGACCTTTTTTCAGCTTTGAGTTCTGTAATAAAAGGCCCTTTTCTGATTTATTAACTTGGGCTTTTTTGGAAGTGTGGGTTTGTGCTATGCCATTGGTGAGGGAATCTTCTCCAACTATATCTCACTGTTCAGGCTCACAACTCACTTCTGCTGATCCACCTGAAACTCTGGCCTCTTGTTAGTTCTGTTTCTCTACCCTAGATCAAGCACCCTTTGGTTAGGTGTCCAGCTACCGTCTCTCCAGGGCTCGGGCCTTGAATTTCCTCCCCTCCCTCCCTCCTATCAACCTGGTCCTCAGCTGAAGTTTCACAAATTTAAGACAAAATAGCTACCATCTGTGTGACACTTCATGTTTTACAAGGCACATTTACTTACATTATCTCAATTATAACAACTGTCCCATGAGAAGACCCAAAGAGGTTAAGTGACTCCACCCAAGTTACAAAACCGGTAAGTAGCGGGGCCAGGACTCAAACTCAGGTGTTCTGATTTCAAACCCCATTCATCCATGTGATGGTAAACATGCGGGCCAGGGCAGATAGCTGGCACTATGAATCTAGGCACTGCTTTCCACAGAATTTGTAACTAACCCTCTGCACGAAACATTAGCCAGTCACTGCCAGTCAATCCAAGTTGGCATGTGAATGTAAACCTTCTTTACCATCCTAGACTGCAGCATGTGTGCTGTGGGAGCTCAATTAAGAGCAGGACTGACTGACGGTGGTGGGAGAGGGTGTGGCTTCCTTTACCTGCATTGTTCTAAGGTTGGGATTGTTTCTAGACACGGTATATCTGCAAGGGGTAGGCTGAGTGAGACGGTTTGGGGCTATACGTATCAGTGCCTGCATATAAATGATTTGGAAAAAGGAGGACATTCTGCTTACATAACAAGAGGTCTGGTGATGGGAGGTTGCAGGCTTGCTTCAGAGGCTCTGGGTCTACGTCTCTGCCTCTCTTCTCTTGGCTTTCCCCTCATGACTCCTCAGATCCAGGCAAGTGTCACATCCTCATCCAACTGCATTTAAAGGCAAGAGGGAAGGGGAGACTTCTCACAGTTCGGCTTTTATTGGGGAAGAAATACTTTGCCAGTACTCCCTAGTGGATTTCAGGAGACCTGAGTCAGGCCCCTTGGGCCAGAAATGAGTCACACTGCTATACCCTACTTCAAGGAAACCTAGCAGTTTTCAGCGTCTCTCATGGGAGCAGGGGTCTGCCATCAAGGAATAAAGAGATCAAGGGGCTTGAGCCGAGGGGTGATTTTCAATCACCTGTAGATCATCCTCTTTGAGATGATTTTGCTGACATCAAGCACCAGCTAATACTTGTAGGCCCCATGCATCTGCCTTCCCTAGCCCCCAACCCCCTACCTGCCCCCTAGGTCTCCTAGTTACAGCTTCTGACAAGAAAGCCCCATCTGTGCTCAGTGTTTTGTGTGTCTCATCTTCTCTATCATATGGTAAATGCTTTTCTAGCCAGGCAACGCCTACATGGTTTTGTAACTCCCACAGCACCTAGCTCAGAGTTCGCTCAACATTTGATGTAGATAGTCAGTAGATCTTATTTGAGTGAATGCAATACATCAGTGAGCTTTCTAAAATGTAAATTTGATCATGTCAATCACCTGTTCAGAACCTTCAGCAGTAAGTTTCATAATTCTAAGGAGCTCATAACAGGCCCTCCATTATCTGGCCCTTTTTTTCTTTCCAAGTTTTTTATTATGAAAAATTTTAAATATACAGAAAAATCAACAGAAAGTACAGTGATCACCCATACACCTACCACTTAAGTTCAATGATTGTGAACTTTTTGTCATATTTATTTGTCTGCCTATGTATATATATATGTATATTTTGCTGAGCCATTTGAAAATAAGTTGCTTGATGCTTGACCCCTGAAAACTCAGCATGCATCTTATAAAAAATACTTTCCTACATAATCACAAGATCATTATCAGACTGCAGAAAATTATAGTTCTCAAATATCATCTAGCATCCAATCCATGTTTAGATTTCTCTGTTGTTTCCAAGATTATCTTACAGAATAGTCGTTCCTCATTATCCACAGGGGATTGGCTCCAGGACCCCCTGCAAATACCAAAGTCTGAGGATACTCAAGTGCGTTATATGAAATGGTGGAGTATTTGCATATAACCTATGCACATCCTTCCTCATATCCGGCAATGAATTATACTTCCTTCTAAAAAAGGTGTTGTAAATCTTAATTCCTTCCCTTTAATTACCAGTTTTCAGAATCAGAAGCTGGTGTAATAATCACCAGTGGTCTCAAATAAGGGCATGTTTTTCTTCTCTTTACTATCACTACAAACTTGTGCATTATTTTAAACTTAATATTTTACAGTTACAGTCATCTTTGTTTTGGCTGCTCGTTTGGCCTGCATTTTGGCCATAATTAACTTTTATCAGATGCCTTTCATCCTTGTCCCTAACTATCTCCCATTTCCCCATGTGCTGTGCTCAGCCTGTACTAACCAGTTCTGGTTCTCTGAGCACCCA